CAGGTATATCGCTACAAAGTGATAGAGCAGACTATGGTTTGACGAAAACAGCTTTTCGAAGATCTTAGCAGCGAATGTATAGAAATATTTCCTGAAATAAGATTTTATTTCCTAAAAATTTCTCAATCTTTCAAAGTAAAGGGCCGAGGACTCTTAAGATGTTGACTTCGAGTTTTACTTTTGGGACTTATAGCGATCAAAACGGTAGTTGATTATATGGCAGATTATCCAATCTAGAAGGAAGCTGAACCTGGAATTGATAACATCCAAATACTACTCACGGCCTGCAGACCAGACATGCCATAGGCTGCTAGATGGAAGCATGACTCACAGGCGGTAAGCGCCTTTCGGACGATCTCCTCGTTCAGCAGTGATCCCTGTGAAAATATTTCAAGAAATGATTCCCAATATAGTAAGTAAATCCAGATAAGCGTTAAAATCTATTCGTGAGAGGGAATAACAAAAAATGAATCACGAAGAAATTGAAAGAATAATATGTAAGAAAGGATTGCAGTAAGTAATTCAGGAAGTAAAATACAGGACCCTGAAAGTTTCCAAATTTAGAAGCAGAAAATGAGTACAAAATCGTTGAATTGAGGTTACACGAGGGGGCTATCGTCCAGTTGATTGATTAAAACCAGAATTCTACCTGTATTCTAGTGGTCAATTTCTCGTCGAGGGTGATATTAGGATGTACTGGAAAGACGACGTCCAGTAGTACAGTATGAGCGCCTTCAGACTGTAAACGGCTTGCAAGTTGACATCCCAAATAACCTCCGCCTCCCACGATACATACCCGCATCTCCCTAAAGGTAATTATATATAAGAAACCAAAAAGTGGAGCAAATAAAGCAATAACACAGACGCGAATTATATGTAGAATTGATTTCATGACAACTAGCAGCCAGGCTTATGACAAGAATGACCCTTGCCCTGGAGATTGGACTAGCTTAGTACTTTCTCCCTTGAAGTGTGCAGCCCTTGCCGAATCCCCTTGAAGGAAATCCCATAATGATTTAAGTTTGCGATAATGGTGAACTGTTCCAAAAGCCCACTAATAGGAATTTCGTAGCCCGAAGCTGTGGAGGAGAGGCCAACGTTCAGAAGAGGCTCCCAGGTCGCCATGGCCATTCACGAAGATATTTACACGCCTAGATGTGCACTCGAGCGCTGATCTCATATCTACTTTCTAAACCTGCACCATTCTCTGAATGGAGTCATGAAGAATGGATAGCAGTAAGCACAATAAGGGACCGGATCCCCCGACATTTTGACTGGGTGTACCGACCATAGCTTTGCATAGAAAATCTATTAAAAATTTTCAACTCCGTAATTTTCAACTCCGTTTAGGAAATCGTTTAGCATTATTCGGAGGGTAGATTTGAGAGCAACGTTCGAAGGCACATTTAGTCCTACACATCTTCCTTGAATGGAACATGGCGACCTGGGAGTCTTTCCTCCGTTTTCTATGCTCCTTCTCCCCTTGATTTCTGGTACCCCGATGCCAAATCTCCTTAGGGCCGCGCATTGGCTCACTTAACGCATTAGAGTTTCCATTTTGAGCCAGGCTACCCATACTCTACAAATGCGAAATTCCTCTAGGATGAGGGCGACTGTATCGAATTGTATCGTTTCATGTGCCTGCTAGAGCAAGCTGGCAAAATATGACATAGAACGTGGGAAGTTGAAAGGTTTTTGAAGAGTTTGGACAGGTCTTGGTCAACTTGCTGGAGTACACGCTGTCAAGTTGTCAAGAAGGTGTCAAGAAAAAATGAATGCGAATGAGAAATCAAAACATGATTAATTAAAAGGTCTCAGAAACCATAACAAAACCCTATCGAAAACTCTGTTGGATTTTGGTGAACATACTGAGAACGCTGGTAAGCGCTCTTATGAAAGAGAGATAACAGAACGATAATAGGCTTTGGGTCAAGTGAATCCATGTCAGTGACAATAATCAATAATCCAAAGCATTTCTCGAGAACCGGTAATGAAGTTAATGGGTTCAGTCATCTTGTAGTGAAATTACAACTCGTAGTTACGAATCGCACATTTCATGGAGAGAAGAACACACACGAACACGTTGTTGATTCATTGCTTCAATGATAGCGTTAAAAATCAATTTTACGGCTGAAATGGAAAAGCGAAAAGAAAATTACGACCATGATTTGGCATATTTTTCATCAAGTATGGTATTATACTACAAAGCACATTACAGAGGGGTATTTGCAATGCAATAATTGCACGTCATCTGAACTGTGTTCGACTGGTTCGATCAAGTCTTTTTAAACAGTTTTCGCAGATGTTTTGATGAGCCGCTCAGACATATTCCGCGTGCTGGGCACTTCACGGTCATCACTCATCAATCTATGACTTGGTGAATTCAAAGTTAAACACACTGATTTCACCAGCTGATAGCCGATGTTGTCCTATGAATCAGTGCACTGGCACGAAGACGGCTGAAAACAGCTCATCCAGAGGAGAACACAAGCGTCTAGATGAATGAAGATCGAAAAGTTCTGTGACCCGAATTCTCTTCAAAGAGGTTTTTTGTGAATCCCCTCGGTCTATCCCAATGTACTTTTTGTCCTCCTATAAGCTGAATCTATAACACGAAGCGATCAAGGGCAATAAGCCGCTCTGTATTAACGCCTGAGCTAGCACAACTTTTTGGTTGCTCCCGAAAACGTTTTCGCTTCATGCTGCATTCTTCTTCGAATCCACATATAATGCGAAGCTATGATTGTATCAGAAAAGATGATGAAAGACGATGACAACCCAGCAGTCGATTATCCTGCTCATAACTCAGAACTATCGTCATAAGGATAAAGGATAAAGCATTTGCCGTTGATCAATCCCTTTTTGGGATGCGGCACGCATTCTACTTCCATTTGTACATTCGTAGTGGCATTTGAATGCGATGTGGCCTATACAATGACTTGGGGCCAGCCGATGTACAAGACGGAGGGGGGGGGTGGGGGGGGGGGGGGGGGGGGGGGGGGGGGGGGGGGGGGGGGGGGGGGGGGGGGGGGGGGGGGGGGGGGGGGGGGGGGGGGGGGGGGGGGGGGGGGGGGGGGGGGGGGGGGGGGGGGGGGGGGGGGGGGGGGGCGGGCACACAGAGGAGATCCCCGACGCTATGTGGTGAGCGTGCTACTTGTCACTCACACCTCCTTCGCCCTATAAACTAAATAAAAGGATAAAGGATAAAGCATTTGCCGTTGATCAATCCCTTTTTGGGATGCGGCACGCATTCTACTTCCATTTGTACATTCGTAGTGGCGTTTGAATGCGATGTGGCCTATACAATGACTTGCGGGGGCCAGCCGATGTACAAGTCAGTGTTTTTATCCTCCCAGACAAGTCTGGTACCAATTAACCGACCCCGGAGGGATGGAAGGCTTGGTTGGCCCGGGCGACTCACGACCCAGGATTTGATCCCCGGACCGCTCGCGTGGTAAGCGCGCCCACTTGTCACTACACCACTTCCGCCCTCCGAATCTATGAGAAAGAATTTCAGCCATCACCATTATTTGTTATTTCTTAGTTAGTCGTTTATTTACACACGATTCTTCGCAGCCATATCGAGCAAGCACCATCTTCAGTCTTCTCCCTCTCCTTCGCTTTGACCTCGCGCAGTGGTACGGTCCGCGGGCGAAGAAGTCATTAGAACACAACCAAGTCAGCGATCATATTGAGTTAGGTAATTAGAGAGAGGCTCTCTAAAAAGACAAGATCGACAGCTGTTATGCATATACATATTTATTCTTTTGTCAGGGCATGTTTGAACCTCGTTTAAAAACTGAGTACGGTGGGTTCCGCCAAAAAGTTGAAACAATAAAAATGCGTTGGACAACAGAATTGTTAGTCAGGAAGTACCAAGGTGACAGCATGTAGGAGGACTGCAGAGCATCTACTTGACCATAATACGATCCCTACAGTCTACGTCAGAAGGGTAAAGACGTAAGTATAAGATATGGTTTACACACCCTCTAGCCCTAGTCTTTCCGTGAATAGAAAAAAAGAACCAACGATAGGGTTGACCCTGCCTTCCAGACAAGTCAGGTGCTAATAACCCGTCCCCAGAGATAAGGCTCTGATGGTCTAGACGACGGCACGACCCAGGATCGATCCCGACCGCACGCGTGGTAAGCAGCACCAACTGCCACTACGTAACATACGCCCACTATCTCATAGTATACGAAAATGATTCCGTAGACCGATAAGCATTCGATGCAACGCTTTTGTGGATATTTTGAGACGCTATATATATCAGGAGAGGATTTTAGGCGCATGCATTTGATGGCATTAGCATTGCATTTTTCATTCATAGTGCTAATATCTTTGGAATTATTGTCAGGCGCATATGATCAAATCTCTTCTACAAGAAATTTACCACTAACGGTAACGTTTGCAATACAAACCCTGATAGCTACTTATTTTTTAATGAAATCATGCACCATTAGGAGGAGTTCATAATAAGAACGAAGATCAAAGAAGGGGGAAATTGCATAGTTGGGAGAAAGGCGAACCTCCTGAGGGTGCTGACCGACGCGCAATTGGCAGCGAAAGATTTGACTCGGCGATCCATCATGGCTCACTCTTGACGTGGTTGTCGGGGTACGCCCAGCGTCCACGCCACTGGTCTACACACGACGAATGATAGACGACAGAGAGAGCGTAGCGTTGAGGAGGGCACAGCGATGAGGGTCGCATCAGTATCAAGGAAGGGGCCACATTTCTCGGGATTCGGGCTGTATCGAATTCTTTCTTCTTCTCCCTGCTCCACTGACCACCCATACATTTATTTCGGAGCTACACTTTTCTTCGAAAATTCTACTCTTTTAATTGCTATGCCAACCTTCCTCCTCTTTGAAATGCTCTATACTGGTAACAGATAACAACTTCTTAAAGGAATCTTGCGCGGAAAAATCATGATTCTATTTCAGCCATAAATCACTGGCTTGAGACTCATTATCCACGATAATAGTGAAAAGAACTGAAGTATTGCTTTCGTTTTGATTAGAAATTCGAAAACTCGAAAAGGCTGCTACGCGTTCGAATTGCCCACGGACGTCTTTCACGAATGCTGGCGACGGGGATGCTCAAACTTGGTTCTTGGAGTGCATTCACTAGAAGCTCTTTCTGGCCTTCTGCTTCGTTGCATTCACATCTTACACTTCTACTCCATCCTATTCCATCGATCGATTTGTCTCCACTCTCCGAAATCGCGCGCTTTAACCCGATTCTCTCATTGCGTCGCCTGGTACGTAGCCGGCCAAACGCCGTCTTCTTTCCATGCCTCGCCTGGCTCTGCCTCCTGGTCCTTCGATGGTCCATAACGTGTAGTTTTTGTACGTTTGTTTCTCTTCAGAAACCGAATCTTCATGCGTGAAACTTTGTGTGCTATTTCCAGTGATCACAACTGACATATTCATGTTAGGAAAGAGTGCAAGAATTTTCCGCGCAAGATTCCTTTAATAAATCAAGTATTTGCGCATTCAAACATTAAGTTCAAGTTCAGTTTTGAGTTCAATGGTTGAATGAATTTCCCATCGCATCTTTGAAGCTGTAGAAATGGGGTGGTGAAATGTGAGCAAAAATTGCGTTCTAACCAGTTCGCCGAAAGAAAGTAACCAAATGAAACATTGCACAGCACTGCCCAATGACTATGCTGTTCACAAAAGGAAACTGTGTTTCTATAGAGGGTATGACCGTCCTGTTTTCATAAAAAGCTGTGATAGCAGTTCACAGAACGTTTTCAAAATAATGGAAATAAGTTATCGCCTTTATAAATGTGCCCTG